TAAAGTCGGGGTGGGACATCCACTACACAATTGATTCGTCCGGACTTGTCCGTTGCTATGACTACACTCGGTAAAGGGGGTAAAACCTTGTTTTGGGGGTGGGACGACGCGGGGGTGGAGAGGAGAACTAGCCGCCCGCAGGAGTGTGAACGTAGAGTCTCTGCCTCCGGACGGAGAGGGAGAGCGAGAGCGAGAGCGAGCGAGTGGTGGAGAGGGGAAATCAATCCCGCACACAACCTACTTTACTTACCTCAACTCCAAAACTTAAACTCCCCAATTCGATAATACAGTGTGGATATCCATATCGGGAAACCTTAATCGGATCCGGTGATTTTAAATCGGCCCCGGGGGTTTGTCGGTGCATAAAAGCCTTAAAACTGGCTGGATTTAAAATCAGTTTTTTTATAAACTGTCAAAAAATGGCGAAGATAAGAGTCAAAGACATCTATTGTTTTGCGCGCAATCTCGCTGAAACAGCAAATTTTGCATATTCCAACTGTTCTTTTATACAATTTTTTTCACTTTTATGGAAAATAACTATACAACTGGATAAAATAAATCAGGATCCTACACTGGTCATGTGTCCCAATGGGGGTCAGTCTTAGACAATGAGGTTCTTTAACGTGCGCACCTGGCACATAGGCCTTATCACACGTTTAGTTTCTCATCAGTCAAATTGAAAGAAAATCTGTCAATCAAATGGATGGAAATAGGTTTTCACCAGAAATACTGCGGCATTTCCGGTAACTTGGTCGATACAGATCATTCTGGTTTATGCTATCTCCTGTGGAGGGTTTAGATTCTACTGAAGATTTGACAGATCAGACTAAGATGATCACAATGAGAAACTTAGGGTAGCTAGGATATTCCAAATAGTATTTTATTAATCTTTTCACTATCATCGAGTAAAAGCTATACAACTGGATAAAATAAATCAGGTCCTACTCTGGACAGCAGTCAAACTAAAAGAAAATATACCATTCAAATGAGTGGAATAGGTTTTCACCACAAATATTTCTGGTAACTTGGTCGATAGAGACCGTCCTGGTTTATGGCATCTCCAGTGGAGGGTTTAGATTGTACTGAAGATTTGACCGATCAGAGTAGGTTGATCACAAATGACAAACACCTCAAAAAAACCCACACCTTTAGCCATATGAATATTATACAGTGAAATCTCCACGGAAGAGTGCGAAACGCGTCTGTCAGTTCAAAATGGTCAGAAATGAGCTACAATTCAAAGATTACTTCAATGAATAAAATATATATCAGGTTAAAAAAGATAAAAACAGGAGATGGCCGCGAGGAAAAAAAAATGCAAAACTTAGGGTAGCTAGGATATTCCAAATAGTATTTTATTAATCTTTTCACTATCATCGAAGAAAAGCTATACAACTGGATAAAATAAATCAGGTCCTACTCTGGACAGCAGTCAAACTAAAAGAAAATATACCATTCAAATGAGTGGAATAGGTTTTCACCACAAATATTTCTGGTAACTTGGTCCATAGAGACCATCCTGGTTTATGGCATCTCCAGTGGAGGGTTTAGATTGTACTGACAGATCACAAATGACAAAAAAAAAAAGTTCAAAACGAACAGAAACTATCTACAATGCGAAGATTACTTCGTTGTATAAGATATATCAGGTTAACATGATAAAAACAAGAGATGGCCGTGAAAAAAAATTATATATATGCGGAACTTAGGGTAAATAGGATAGCTTATTTACTGCTTAGGTTTTACTACTTACTAGTGGGATCTAAATGTTTTATTAGTTTGATTATGAGAAATAAAGGATATTCGTGCCACATAATCCGTTCTTGGTTTGAATTCCGGCAAACCTCATTGAATTTTAATTGAGAACAATATGAAAAAAAAAAAAAAAAGCAAAAAGTGGTCTGACCCCTTCTGTGCGAAACCCAACTGGTAAACATAAAAACCTCCTGTATATCGCTATATGTATATGTACAAGAGATAAATTATACCGTGTAAGCCCATTAGAGCACACGTAGGTTTTTGCTCCGCGAGGTTCTAACCACCCCGGGACATCAAGCGTCCTCCAGGAACCACCGATAGGTCACGGATCAAGTGTTTCCACGCAAATTTCCCAACGCCCCACGGCATAGGTGTAGCGTGAACAATCAAAATTCACAGGGTGGGGATATTAAAAAACATTCATACCGTGAGGTAACGAATCTTTGCTTGGAGGGGGCTTGACCCAGTTCGATGTCAGTGAACGTCGTCGCACCGAGGGGGTCCCAATGGGAGGAATACGGATCCACTTCCCCGTCATTCAGACCGACAACGCTCCCATTAAGAACTCAAACGCCATTATAAAATCCCTGACTATAATTTATTTTGTATACAGTATAGAATAACCATTGATTATATGTTAATACAACAAATCAATATAAAAATCTCGAGAAGAGATCTGCTGGGTGATGACCTAATGGATGACCGGTCGTTTCCGATCGTCTTGATCCAGCAATCCTTCCTGTTTTTTTCCTCAACGAACGTTTCGGAACAAAGCATGTATAGGCAGACCAGGATGATCAGAAACGACCAAAATAAGCCGAAACGAATTCTTACACGACTACATATTTTTTTTCTGTTATTGCATTTATTTATAAAAAGATACTTGTTTACCTTGTAAAGATTACTTGTATACATCCGCTCCGAGCAAAAATCATTCAAAAAATGTGTATTTTGATTACTTTTCGATATGTAGGTCGACGAAGAGAAAGACGGTGGACAGAAGGCAGAAGGGGGCTTTAATGAAAGCGTATATTGCCGGCCTGCACCTACAAATCTCTAACGTCATTGTCTCTCTTGCGAAACAATGGAAAGCAGAATGACCCCAAACGTCTGGGCCCCGTTTTGGGGAAAAGCTGACGACAGGACGTCGAAAAAAAAAAATTCACATGCCGCGTATGAAGCTCACAATCCAAGTGAGAAGTCCCTATTAAAAAAAGGCGAAGACTTGCAGATAAAAGGAGGGACTTGATTTTTTTAAACTATATGTTTTAACGTAACAATTCCATCAGAAAAATATTACTATATTTAAGACAGCAAAATGTTACAATAATAAAGTCTCCCTCAAAGAAATCAAGACTTTTTTAATTGGACAAAGTTTGTAATTAGTTTCCTTAAAATTACAATACAAACAACCCAGGGGGTTTTCTTTCTTATCAAATCGCGAGTAACGGTTTAATATTTATTTTGTAACGCTAATTAATATTTTAATGATTTATTATTTTAGACGGATGTTAGCTACTATAAATTAACAAAATACAACATACAATTGAAACAAGTAGCAGTTAATTCATGCATTATTTAAATATTTCTAAAAATGAGCCAGTTTTTCTGAAGTTTCGAGGAAAATGATAAAATCACAACGCCATTTCGAAATTCTACACTGGCAATTATTTAAATATTTATGTTTGCCTTGTAAATAAATGGTATTTCTCTTGTATTCCCAAGTGATATGGAAAAAAAAAAAGTCCCGCACAAGATTTTATCTGTGCAGATAAGCAACGGGGTATTTAAAGAAAATTACAATCGGACAAAAGTCTTCGACCAAATATTTTTCACAAAATGCGAGCTCAAAACAGCTTGATTATGTATTTTTGTTTTGTGGGATGTTAACGCAAAATTGATATATTTTGGTCTTTAAACCCAGTAAAAACATAGGTATTTTAATCAAGTGAATTGATGGTGTTATTTTTATTTAACAAGAAAGCTCTAGGATGAGAGAAATAACTTGATTTTAGCTGTGTTTTTTTTATTAACTTAAGGCAAAGGAAATTTAAGTGGAATTTAGTAAATAGTGTGTTTATACAAGGTGTATCAACTTCTATAGGCCACCCATTTAATTTGGAAATGATTAACTTTAGCAAAAAATGGTCTTATACAAACCCCAAGTTAATTTTGTCTAGGGCTTTATATTAATTTTTGAATGAGGGCCATCTTGTTACAAAAAGCATACCCCCTCATGCGTCTTCCGTCGGTCATAACACAGAAATTATCTATCCTATCAAAATTTTCCTTTCAGTAAAAGTGGCCTAAAATAGGCTCTAGATTGGAATTTTACAATAAAAATATGGGATTCTCATTTAAGATATCAAAGTTAATGTCATTTCCCAGCTAGATGAGAAAGTTATGTGACATCTGTTACCACCACGCGATTCCTAACCAAAATTAACTTGGGGTTTGTATAAGAACATTTTTGCTAAAGTTAATCATTTCCGATTTAAATGGGTGGACTAAATTAATTATTTGATACACCCTTTATACTTAAGGCAGTTTTAGGTAGGAAATTCATGTCTGCTTGTAGCTTATTTTCCAAGTGGGACATAAGGAGAGAAGAATAACCGAGTTATCTGGGTAGAGGAGTCAAGGGCAAAATCGGCAAACGTTTTGTTTCTTGGTGCAATTTTCAACTTGAATTAAACCGTCGATGGATCTTCCGAGAACGCCGAAGACGGTGCTTGACCCATACAAAATGGCCGTGAAAGGTCTTTGAACCTTTCCTCTTCACTTCTCCCACCCGAGGACCGTTTTATACCGGCTGGAACTGCAACAGAGGAACGTTCCTGGGAGAAAAGTGAAACCGAACACGACATCCTTCCTCTTTACCGGTTAACATAAAAACCGAGTCGGTCTTGCCGCGGGAGCTTATAGCTTTTGGCAGTCAAGGCTTCTTTTTATTCTCAGCTTTTTCTTTTGGCTGGAAACTCATCGAGATGGGGTCACTGAGTCAAGGACGTCTGTATGTAGTAAATTCTAAAGTAATTTCAATTCTCGCCGCCCGACGGCCATCTTTAAACCTCGTTTAGAGACCCCCGAGACTCTAAACAGAAGAACTTCGAACTATACCTTTTATCGCGTTTCAAATACAGCACTTTTTTAATAGTTTCTTATGAGAAATAACATTTTAAAAATCATCACTTCCGGTTCTATTCGGCTAAATTCATTCTTGAACTAAGTTTAAGGCTTACCCTGGCACCCAAAAAGCGTGCTTCAAGCAGCTCTTGTTTTCTCGGATCCAGAGCTGTTTGGAAATGATGTTCCATCTTCACACCTGCACCTGGAAAGAAGACAAAAACGAAACTTTATTAATTATATTGTGTCACAAGAAGAAGAGAATGCGTTGAAAGCGTTATTGAATTCAATTCCCCCTCTCACAAAACGGATTTGAAGGCTAAGTAGTATATCGATTGACTCTATTTATAAAACAAGCCGAGTCCCTATCAACAGGAGAATGTAAAATTTTTAGGGAATGGAATAATGACGGGTGTTTCTAAATTTATGCCTCTCTTACATTTGTACTGAAAACTGATAAGGGGAGTTTTTATCAGATTGTCGTCGTCTGAAAAACAATCGACGACGTAAATTATCAACGACATGGTCATTAAGTTCTTTTGGATAAAAGAATTCAGGTAAAAAGCAGGAACCACTCAAGAAGAAAACTATTTCATTTTCTCCAAAATTAAATATTTTAACATGGATAAAGAACTATTTCCTGTATATTAACAGAAAATACTTATAAATAAGATTAATATTTAATAATAAATTTACTTCAGTATAATGTACAAATACACCTAGTGCAGATTGCGTTGAGGCAAAAGGTTTTTCAATTATTTTTCTCTAACGTTCAACCCGAAATGATCAAGTTTGATAACGGTGTCTGCGTTTGTTACCTACAGCGTTGGAAATAAAGCCAGGATATTTTCTCTATTTAATTATTGTCACAGTCGCTCTGTATGAGATTAGTTAAATGCTTTACCCAATTTGTCATAAATATAATTCAGATCGTCACCTGTTTTTACCGGATTTCTACAGTGTATCCAGTAACTGGAACGATTCGAAAGTCACAATAAATCAAAAAATAGCTAACCAGATCGGAGAATCGATGAAATGGGGACAAACAGACGGATCGATCATCCGCCCCCCCGGCCACCACGGAAGGCAGACCAATAGCGAGAACGGACGGACCACAGGTGGTCCATTTTTATAAACCAATTATAAAAGATTTGATGTGAGTTCGGCTACTATATTTTATTTAACGGAGCAAACAAACTAGTTGCGTTAAATACGTATAACAACGCTAAGTAAAAGTTATGATATTTTAGAAAAGCACAGTTTTTCCCCACACTCGCTCACTTAGTCTATCTCTTTCACACACTCTTACTCCCGTCCCACACCATCTCTATTCCTCTCTCTCTCTCTCTCTCTCACACACCACACACACACACACACGCGCGCGCGTGCACACATACACACGCCTCACTGCCTCAATCTCTCTCTCACTCTCTGGCTTTTCTAGCTCTCCATCTCTACCTCTCTCGCTTTTTGTCAATCACTCTCTTCTCTCTCTCTCTCTCTCTCTCTCTCTCTTCCTATCAATTCTTTTCTCTCTCCCTCTCACTTCTTTCTCTCACTCCCTCCCACTTCCCTTCTGTGCATCACTCTCTTCTAGCTCTCTCTCCATCTCAATTATTTTCTCTTTCAATCGCTCTCCCTCTCACTTTTTCTCTCTCACTCCCTCCCACTTCCCTTTCTGTGCATCACTCTCTTCTAGCTCTATCTCTCTCTCTCTCTCTCTCTCTCTCTCTCTCTCAATTATTTTCTCTCTTCTCTTTCCCTCTCACTTCTTTTCTCTCTCACATTCTCCCACTTCCTCTTCTGTGAATCATTCTCTTCTAGCTCTCTCCCTCTCACTTCTATTCTCTCTTCTCTCTCCCTCTCACTTCTTTTCTCTCTTATTCTCTCTCCCTATCAATTCTTTTCTCTCTCATTCTCTCTCCTTCTCACTTCTTTTCTCTCTCCCTCTCACTTCTATTCCTCTCATTCTCTTTCCCTCCTTCAATCTCTCACCCTCCCTCCCTCACATTCACTTTCTTTCTCTCTCCGTGAGTGTGTGTTTGTAGTAAGGATGAAGTTCACCCCTTATTAAAAGAGGTTGGTAGGTTATTGTAGATTTACTTCAGCTTTCTTCATCGTCAATTTAGTTTGTTGAGACAAATGGATTATGGTCTATTGAACTTTGTAGACTTACTTTACTTGAAGTTAGATCGCAGATACACGCTCTCTATAACATCATATTGTTTGGTTTAATTAGGGTATTCGATCTTGTTAAATGTTTTATGAAACGCGCTAAAGTGGTTTTAGAGAAAGGAAGGTTACTACGACTCAAATGTACACAATAAGTCAAAAATATTAAATAGACGGGGGCATCGATGAAATAGGGACGAACAGACTTGTAAGATACGCCCACGGGTAAAACAGCGAGAACGGGCGGACCGCGGTGAAGGTCATTCAAACAAGTCTTAGTTCTTGTCATGATTAATAACGATTATTTGGTTATTTTAAATGGCAATGTTAAATAAAGACAGATTTGATAAGATTATCTATTTAAAAGTGTAATGTTGGAAATCGTTTGATGAAACTGAGCTTTTATAAATTTTTGACCGTTCTTAAACTCTCTTTTCTTCCCTTCTTATTGTATTGTGGACACATTCTATGCAAACAAGCACGCGATAGCCTTAACCTAACCTAAAACATTTGACGACATACCAGAATAGAACAACGGTTAGCACCCCAGATCGTGTTAGAGTTGTCATAAAACATTGACTGCATAAAAATAAAATACTCTGGGGTAACCGCAGTTATTTCGAGTTAAACGGAGATATAAAGATTCCAGGAAATCTATGTAGTGTTTACAAGTTCAAACTGTTCTGAATGTTTTGGGTGTGATCCGATGGCACGACTGGCAAGTCGAGGGCTGTAAATTTAAACGCGGAATTTTTATAGGGCTAATAAGCTCGGAGTTGATTTGTTTTTATGTATGAATCTCACCGAGCACTAACCCACTGGATGCCCTCGTAAAAATAAACGGATCATTTTCTATGAGTCGTTTTTTTCTTCACAAAGTGGAAAGGCCGGTTTAATAGAATTAACCCGTTATCGCACTTTTATCTCTTGGGCTTGGGGGGATTTTCCGATCGTGCACAATCGCGTTCTTTCCCTTTCGCTTGTAAATCCTGAACTCGGTAGGATATTAAATCCACAGGAAGTGCGAGCTTTGTTTAATCTGACGAAGCTGCGCCCAGTCGAAATCACTGTTGACGCATCATGAGGTCCCCCACTCTAATGTGTAGTTATAAAAATAAAACATTTGAAAATGCCCAAAATTTTCGCGTTTTCAATAAAACCTAAATCTAGCACACAGAGGGAAAAACTTCTATTATCAACTTTGTTGAGAAATTTGTTAACCTTTTTGTACTTTAAACCTGACAAAATTTATAGCCTGTTTTTCGTTTTTTATTTGCTTAGCGTTACACACTGGTTGATTGAACGCTTCGTACCTCTTCTATTAATCGTCTTAGTTCTAAATTTAATAACTTATTATTTTTAAAAATGTGTGGTGAGTAGTGACCGTTAGTTAATAATTATTCAGAAATCGTGAGATGCGGTCTGGTGTGATGTAGGTTTCAGAAAAACATTTTCTTTATCGTGCCAACGTTTCGATCTTTATNATTTTGCATTGTATAAATTCACTTTTTTCCACATCCTACATGTATTTGTTAAATGTAAACAATGTTTATAAATCCCAGGCCCTGAAGATGATCTCAATAAAGATCGAAACGTTGGCACGTTAAAGAAAATGTTTTTCTGAAACCTACATCACACCAGACCGCATCTCACGATTTCTGAATAATTATTTTTAAAAATTTTGTAATCCTTTGTGGAATTTTTCGAAAATTATAATTTAAAGTGGCCTCCAGTACAAAAAAGCTCTAACTATGGGAGATCTAAGGGTGGTGATATGCTTTCAAGAGTAATATCATGGGCATAAAATTGATTTTATTAATGTTTCTGATGATGACCGTTATGATTTATGTACATAATTGTAAGTTCTTCCAGTTTATTTAAACCCTTCTTCCTGGGCTGTAAATTTCTTCAATTTAAATAATCTTATTTCAGAAAATGATTTCTTGAAATATCCCTGAAGAACTATAAAATATTAAATTCGTGTATTTAATTTTTCAGTTCAGTTTTGGTTCAGTTATACATATTTATTTTATATTTATATTTTATATTTATTATTATTTATTTTGTTATTATTATTATTTTTTAATTTAATGAACAAGCAATATTTTCATCTTTCTGTCGATCGTAAAGTCTAAGACAAGCTTTAAGCTTTTATATTAAAATTAAAGAAAAAATACTCTTCACAGAAATATGTGTTATTTATAGATTTTACAGTTAAAAAATATTTGAATTCGAAATGATATAAAAGCAAATCAGCAAGCGAGCTGCTCAATACAAAAGTATTCAATTCGTGCTGAGCTTAAATAGTAAAAACTTTCATTCCCATGCCAGAAAAATATTACTAGCATATAAAAAATTAGACCCAAAGATGTTTCTGATGTTGTATATGTCTAAGTTATTTGTTTTAGTAGTTTATTTTCGTTTTACTTCGAGAATTACAGCAAAAGGTTTTTGATTTTATACTTAAACTTCATTATCATCATATCGACTATACAGCAAAAAATATTCAACTATTAAGATCAAAAACCCAATACAATTTGATCCTGTATGAAAAGATTTAAGATGTTCCTATCTTCTTTTAAAGATTTAAAAGAGTTAAAGTTTCCACTTTTGTGACATATTCAAGAAAGTCCTCCCTTCAATATTTATGGACCCAACGTTCACCGAGGGACTCATCTTGGGCCTGTATTGTATCCCCAGGAGCAGGTAAGGCAGATGTTCAAGAGCAACGTATTTTTCTAATGGTTTTGTTTTATAAGGAACAAAAGGGGGGTCAGTCACGAAGAATACGTAGAGTTGAAACCTGGCAACACAAAAACCGTACACAACCAAACTGTATTGTACTTGAATTACAAATATTTTAAATGAATATCAGGATATTTCAAAAATTTCTTGATAAAAGATACAATCCGGACTATTTAGAGTAAGATCGAGGATCGTGTGCAATTCCAACCAATAAAAAAATTTCATAGATCGAGCAAGCCCAGATAGTTTCATTATGTTCCGGTGATAAAAAAAACTATGTAAACAGCA